AGGAATTAGACACAATACAATTTAGGTTGAACAATGGAACTCATCATGTAGTCTTGAACCATACTAGATGTGTCGATTTATCACTACGCTGACATCGTTCAGTAGTAAGATCCACGCCCATCGTGCATTCCAACCGAAGAAATTATGGGGCTAGAATGCTAAAGACAAGTAAGGAACAGTTGAGACAGTGAGATTAGGTTTGAAGCGCGAACCTTCCGGAGAGTATGTAGGCACCTTGAACAACGAGCCTTTACTGGTGCACTCCGTTTTCTGGGCTTCTTCAGACAAATAACATTGCAAGGTGACCACACTAATGAAGAGGCTGCCTTTCGAGTAACACACGTATTTGCCAATCAATTTGGTTTTACACGACAGGCTCAACTGAATCTCTCGTTTATAATATTCTACAACTGAATGTGCTGCACACAGGCTGCCTCATGTTTCAGTTGGCACGATATTTGAGATATCGCAGTATATTTTCATAAAGGTAACTCTTTGTAATGCAATTTGATTTCAATTAGAAAATAAGGTTGACGGAAACTCGCGGACTGCGCCTACATGATGAGCCCCAAGAAGAGCGAAACCGGTCGTGGGCTGTCGAAGAGTTTTCAGCAACCTTGTGAGTAGTTTCCTTTATGAAAAAAGAAGCTGTCTTGTTCTGAATGATTCTGCAATGTGCCTCTATCCAGTCGTACCGATCTCAACACTGCCGTGTCTGTTTTTCCAGGCTGGTAATGAATTATCAATGGCTGGCTCTTTAGAAAGCCCTCAGAAGGAGACTGCTTGATTCGTATGATATTACTGAACAAAAAAAAAAACAGTTGAAGTCCATTGTTGCAAACCACCACTGAACCGAGCCTTGAATCTGAAGTTGTCCACGGTGATCGTTCTGTTTCCAACTATTCCACTGTTGTCCCGATGGCCAAAGTCCCAGCCTGCATAGATGTGATACACTACGCGTCACAAACGAGAGATGTAGCTGGAATTCAAGTGCTGAACACACTTATGTGTCCTGAAAACATCCAGTTGAGAATTAATCGTGAACAAGTGATTCCTTATACAGACCTTGTTTAACTGACTGCAGTTTCGGGAAAATTTTCAATTAACGTAAGTGGACTTCTAAAAATCAATGTATATAATATTTGCGCATATAATATATTATACAATATTTCCTATAATATATAATATAATATATAACAATATATCATATATCAGCTCAGCTTCCAATCTCCTGTGTAATATCAGTGGATTTCCTAATTGCTGATATAGGACTAAAATTGCATCCAGCTAAAAGTGATGGGTAACCTCCTCTGTCTCGTTTAGGGATGGATTCTACCCTTGCTACGTTTCTCTTGAAGGGGATCAGGCTTATCCCCTAAGTGTTGGTTGGACCTAAACTTTATTTGGCCAATGGAAACCGTCTGTTTTCGTTCACTTTTTAGCTACTAGTCCGGAAAGTCAAGCCGCTCGATTGCAAGGCAAAACATCACTGTGCCTTATCTTTTCGTTGCAATCGTGTGATTCATGATAGGGACCTTTGACTGCCAGAAGTTTGTTTGTGGGTAACTCTAGCGGGCTTGCTTTTCGGGGCTATAATTTTTGCCAGAAATCTGATTTCCCTCGGTCAAAACGGAGGGGAAACCCCGGTCTGGTCACGAATATACAAACGAAAAATCGCTACGGGCGTCTAGTTAGGTGAACCATAGGAAAGCCGTTTTGACAAAAATCAAGGTAGGGGCAAGTGAAGGCCGTCTGTTCCTAAACATGTGGGTTTTTGGCACATGCAGTCTGATCGTGAAATCATACCGGTGAGGTGCGTGAACTCGGGTGAATAGAAAGTTTGAAATTTTCCGCTCGAGCGTTGCGCGAAGGCATTTATAGTCTCCTCAGATCTTCACATGATGAATTCTGCCTACGGGCAACCAGGAACCTTATCAGATGCGTAATTGCCAAGGATCAATTTTGGTCGCTTTTGCGATGGTACACTGTTTTGTTCTGGTGAGCGGGTGGGAGCGACCAAACTTTTGCATGTGATGAACCTGTTCAAGCCCATTCAGGTAGGAGTCCTCGCACAGAAATGAACACACGCCAATTTGATTAGCTGGAATGCCGATAGATGAGACAACGTTTCTTCTTGGTTGCATGTGTATCGTTTATACGCAAGCACGGATTCATGCTACGGTTATATTTACAGTCCAACGAATGATTTGTTGTTATTTCTCAACTTCTAGATTTAGGAACTGTTACCCACATCCAAACGAATTCCAAGAACTTCTAATTTTAGACACTGAAACGATGTGTTCCAAAGAAAACGGATGCCGTCCTGGGTGGGCCTTTGAAAGGGGATAGAGCTCCTTAAGAAGTGATCGTTCTTCCTGTTTTACTTTGCGTGAACCTGTGTTCATCACGACTAAAGGCCTTGTTTTACCGCGCCGAAATGAATCCGGTCTGACTTCTGCAACCTAAATGCATGATATCCCCCTTGCCCTCTCAAAAAGAGCCTACAGACGCACGCAACTTATGCAAAAGCCGCTTTTCATATCTACTGTGCTAGTATTTTTGCCCTCAGATATCCATCACTTAAGACAACGATGTTAAACACATCCGGTTCGGCCAGAAGTGTATAAAATCGGCCGTGAATACCAAGTATAAAACAATGTTATCTCAGTAACAGAGCTTCAATCACAGTCATCCCTCGGTTGAAACTCACCGGGCTTCACCTCACTTTGCATGGAAACCGGAAGCTGGTTGTTACTGCCAGTTGTTGGATAACTGTAATCCCAGAGTATGAATGACGATCGTGATATACCTCGAGATAATCGAGCTTTCGGGCTTGCTCAGATAAAGCACCACATGTTGTCGTTTAGTGCCCCATTCACTCTAACAATCCCTCATATGACACTCTATTTAAGGTCAAGCCGGATTACAGCTCAATTTCACAACTCCGATAACTAGACTCACCTGGAGAGATGTGTTGATGGGGCAGGCGATGACAAAGGTAGACAGTAGTCAACCGTTTTTAGTCCTACACAGGGTCACGACGGGCTAAAGGAAACAGCTTGCGGATTCCAATCAAGATACCGTAATTGTATCACAAATCTACATGAGCCAGACCACTCTCTTGTACCGCCTGACCAGTTTACAACTTCATTCGGTAGCCAGTTCAACGACTTGTCATTTGAGGACTCCCCTTACCCTAACCCTTCCTCATCTTTGCACACCATCGCGCTGGTTGCGCCTCAGAGCTTAAAAGCGCAGAGTTTATAGCGTCACTAGCCTAAAGTGTGTGACAACCATGATAGGCCTAGGTCCTAGGGTGTCGAATTACCTCAGAGAGCTGTGACCCACCTAACTGACATGGTCACTTCCGGTAATAAGCCAGGTAACCCAAAGCAGCACACTCGCTTATACAGGTGCGTAGTTGAATTGTGAAGTGTACAGATTGGGATGTGTAGAAGTTTCCATTCGTAAAATTAAGAACATCTGACAGGCGGTGAGTTCGCACGGAGCAACGGTTGCTCAACTGAAACGAGGTTGACGAAAGGTGTAAGTGATAATCAGCATACTGCCGTTCGTTAGAACAAGGGATCCTGCAGAATGGTTTTGTCTTCTTTACCTAGGGATTGATTTCCCAAAGAAATTTCTCATCGAGCTTATTATTAACAACGACATCGTAATTTGGGACAAAACATATCGGGTGAAGAGCACCTTTTCGACTCAGATATATGTGCAGGGAATAATGGAATTGACAGGGTTTTAAGACTGTCCCATTCAGAAAAAAAGTTCAGTGATCAAGTAACAAATCGTAGTTGGTTGAAATCTAACATGGAATGGGAGAGCCACGTGGTCCTATCCCCCGACTAGCCCCAATACCCGTGAAACGGTCGATGCTACTGATGAGGCGCGCAAGTAGTATTTGCTCGAAAATCCGCTTTGCGTCTCTTGAAAGATGGGATATTTTACGCGATTTGTGGAGTCACTTTGTAGCATTTGCTTGCATCTGAGGAACAGTCAATGAATTTCCAGGAAAGTTCAAGAATGCGAGTTCAAGTAGAAGATGGATATTCAGTTTTGTGAACAAGATGCCTGTGAGAGTTTTGCTCCCCTGTCCAGTAGTCTGTAAAGGTTCAGTTGGTGTTTCTGTGATAAGCAACACCGCAGTGAAGGCCTTCTTCCTTTCACACGTATGAACCACATCTGGGTGCAAAATTCAGGCTAAAGAATTTTTACACCCGAAGGCTTCCAAAGTAGCCAGGATCTTTATTCTGAGAGACTTCGGTCAGTCCACCGGTGCTTTGCAGGTAGATGCTGGTTAATGTCACGGTTTTCCGCTGAATAAACCCGAAGATTCCCCACTAACGAACCAAGATAAATCTCCATTGCAATCTTTCAATCAGAGTACTCTTTTTGCGCCTTGTAAAACCGTTTGTTTTTTAACGAGGGTCGCCAGCAGTGCAGTTCACAGGGAACCAAGTGGTAATTGACCGCTAAGGCTTTTAAAATGAAATTAAAAGATCAGATTAAGGAAGTCCAATCATGATGAACGTTATAAAAAATGTCGTACTGTGGTTTACCGGGTATCCTGTCATTCAACTATTCAAGAAACTATTTGGACAGCTGAAAAGCTATTCAACTCGAATGCTACAAGTTGTAAATGTTGCGTAATGACTAGTTCACAAGCTGGCTCAGAGGTTAAATCGAGGGAGAAACCTCCAGAGTATTTAGGATTTGGGGTCATTTCTGACTTTTTTGATTATCCTACGATTATTCGTGCTTTCTGTCGACTGGATATCAGTCACAAGTCGCAGAGGGAGAAACATAGTAACTAGCATTTTTATAATTTGACTTCATGAACAACATCGTATATCACCTCTAGTTACATCCACCCGAGTAGCGTTCAGCTGTAGCACCCTTTCGGCGCCCAAGTGCCATGCCACCCGCAGGAAGCACGAGTGCTGAGATACTACCAGGTCGCCCAAGCCTAGACAGGAGAAGTCGAGAGGTAGAGGTCGGGTTCGAACCACGGCCATTAAATTCGCGCTCCAACCACTTGGGCCATCTCAGCCCGAGTAGCACTCATAAATAAATTCTGTTTTACCTGAAAGTTTAAAATGACTTGTGCTGTGCTCTAGGTTGTTTCGGTCGAGTTTGTGAAGACCTCTGGATGTATACTTGTAATGCACTACTCATAAGGTTGCAGAAAATTCGTCGACAGCCCACGACCGGTTTCACCCTTCTTGGGGCTCATCAGGCAGGCACAGTCCTCGAGTTTCCGTCAACCTTGTGTTCTACATGAAACCAAATTGCACAGAATGTGCAAAATACACCCACTTGCAGGTTTCAGGTGAGTTTCTTGAAAAACCGAATTAGTTTGCAAATGAGTGTAGATCTAGATGATTTCCTTTTGATGGTTCCTACCCGGCCTCCCAGACAAATTGTCTCACTGGTCACGATCTTGTGCGTTCTTTTTCTTCCATATCGTTTGCCGCACATGCAGCAAGTGGATTCAGCTGAATGCCAGACCAAGACAAAACATCGTTTCTTAAAGGAACACTCTAAAACTCTTCGACAGCCCACAACCGATTTCGCCATTCTTGGAGCTCATCAGGCGGGCACAGTCCCCAATTTTCTGTTCTACTAGAACCCAACATGTAGGATATTCGCGAACTGCATTCACTTGCACACCAATGTGTCTAAGACGAGAGACTCATCTGTATTTCAGCTGAATGTCTCGTTTATGCTATTCTTCAGCCGGCATTGCACAACAATTTGGCCTGCCTGCCCCACGGAAACACACGACTTAGGTTCAAACAATGCTGCTGTGTGATCCCCAACTGGTACACTCAACTTCGAAAAACTGGGTCATACATCAAGCTGATTGGGGGTCATCGATGGAACCCACTGTCCACAATAACTCATATCCTAAAATCAGCCTTTTGGGGTAAGAGAGAGAATTCTTGAAGAGGCAGTAGAAATCGGTAGGTCTTGGAGACTAAATGTCGTGAAACAGATCGGACGCATAATTACGATCCTCCCTCGATTTTTGAATTGAGCACATATTTTGTTTCATTTATTATGAACAAGAAGTCTGCGTTGCATTCTTTTGCACTTCATCATGGGTTGATTTGCTTTTCTTTGGTGGACTGCTGAGTGAATATCGTCAGAACTCGCTGCTTTCCAAGCCACTGGTGAACTTTGGATGTGACTTACTCCCACTGGCTGTCAGCGTGACACTAAGACGGTCCACGCCATCACAAACAAACAAGCGATATCAGATCACCCAGTCTCTAGTTACTCCGGAGAAAGTCCTATCACCAGGTAGGGCGACGCCAGATTTCTTTGGTGCACATGAAATAAAAAACTACATCTGTACCGGGTTCACTCTCGTTGGCCCACTAGTGGTGGGATACATCTAGCTTTCATCTCAAGAAATCATATTTCCGACAAATAGACTCATTTACATATCAATTTGATTTTCACGGGAGACTCAAGTAAAGAACATCGTAAACGAGAGATTCACTTGAGTCTCCCCTGAAAACTAAATTGATTTGTCGTAATCGGTCCCATTTGGGTTCAAGCAGAACATAAATGTGACGGAAACTCGGGAACTGTGCCTACCTCATGACCCTTTAGAGGGGCGAAACCGGCCGTTGGCTGTCGAAGAGTTTTCAGTAACCTTGCGAATACTTTCCTTCATGAAAATATACTGCGATATCTCGGATACCGTGCCAACTGAAACATGAGGCGGCCTGTGTGCAGCACATTCAGTTGTAGAACATCATAAACGAGAGATTCAGCTGAGTCTCTCGTGAGGAGCAAATTGATTTGCAAATGAGTGTACTTCTCGAAAACAGTCCAATTTGAGTTCAAGTAGATCATGAGGTTGAAGGAAACTCAGGGACTGCGCCTACCTGATGAGTCGCAAGAAGGGCAAAACCGGCGTGGGCTGTCGAAGAGTTTTCAAAAACCTTGTAAGTAGTTTCCTTTTCTTTTATTTCCACCCACCCTACTGGCTGGCCCTGTTGGGCAGAGGATAAAGGTGACACGTGATCGTTTTCAAATATGCACACCCACAGGCGTCACCTCATCAGTGTTGCCACATCATATCATGACCAGATCAAAGTGGTTTACAAACTGTCTGACGTTCACTGAGCCTGAAGAGAAACGAGTGCCATGGTAACAAGTTTGGTCGGGCGGACAACCGTCCAACTACTCAAGTGAATAAGTGCATCATCCCTCGGAGGTGTCCAGGCGTGAGTTAGCAGCTGGTTGACTGTCCAGCTCCACACACCAACCGACCACATGCCGCTTTGAGCAGCAAGAGCAACTCGAAAAGTCACACGTGCGAATACGCATGGCACGTGAAGATGTCGAGGCTTGCGCAATCTTGAGCCAGCAGGTGTGCGCTCGAGAGAAGACCGACCACACACGCACACACTTGTGTGTGGGATAAACCCTCTCACCCGAATTCAATTTAACTTCTCCTAGCGTCGCAACTATTTGAAAAGGTCGCAGGGATGCTAACCCAAACAACAGTCACTCAGCAGAGTTGTACAACCACTTGTGCAAAGCTTACAAAGTCGCACATTCGAGTGTCAGTCCTTTCATTAATTAACCGCTGATTTATCGGTGAATGGTTGGGAAGGTAAAAAATTAACCAACCATCCATGGTTCCTGTAAAACAGTACGTCAAGGTCACAAGAACTCGAGGTCTTTGGCCTCAGCTGGAAAAGTTCAACCCATGGAGGGATCGTCAAGTGTCGAGAACTTTCCATAAGAATCCCCGGATACTAAATGTAAGCCGACCCGGAAGAAATAATGATACCCTATGGCACATGAATTATTCGATTCCTATGTGTCTAGATAGGCTAGAAGTCATTCACGCGATAAAACCTAAATAGGTAGAAATCTGGTTTATCGCAATTCCTTTATTCCTGTTGGTAGTTTGGGGTAGGGAATGCCAGCCTTATCAGTTGACTATGAAGTCACCACAGTGACACTGGAGAGGACACAGAAGAAAGTGCAGATCCTCTATCCTGTCTAAATCATCTGTGTTATCTTGTGCCAATTTCCAATAGTTTCGTTCGTGATTTTATCGGGCAGTCGAATGAGAATACTTTGAGGTGTCAGCTGTTCAGAAGCTCCATCATTGGACCGGCGAATGATAGGGTACGATGACAAGTCACTGCTTCTTGCGTCTTTGACTACCACCGAGGAACACTGGTATTTGTGTACTTTTTTGAAGACCGTGTCACATTGACTATCGATCAGCTGATTGTTGATCTGTTTATGAAGACCGTATTTGTAACTGGTTGCAATGAGTCCAATCTGGACTCCGGTTGCCCTTATGACTGTTTTCGAAAGGTAACATCGATTTGGCATCGAATTGTTCATACAAGCAGGACGGAAGTCAGATGTGATTGTGGTTCAGCCGATACTTATATTCTGCCCTGAGCATATTTTCTGCGTTGCCATGACAACCCCAGGCCATATATCGAACATGTCACTGGTATTTCAAACTTTGCCACGTTTAACAAACTATGTTTCATAGTTTTGAGCGTTCAGCTCACCGTAGCAGGTCCGCGTCAGCTCAACTACTGCTCAACTGTAAAACGAATTTACCTAGTCCACTTGAGTAGGAACTGGTCGGATCCAGACCCAGAAGCCACAACATATAGAATCACGACCAAAGCCTTGGCTGCTAACACTGCCGTCCTTCATATTTGACCTAAATAGTCCATTTGTGTGGACAATTCCAGTACTTTATTCTCATCCACCAACGTCAGTTAGTGTAATTCAGTTATCTTTTACTTATACTCAATGAAACGAAGTTCCATTACTGACAAGGCCGTTACAACGCAGACTTATAAGTAGTATGTTTCGCCAAATAACACAGGAGAAGAATGTTTGCGACACTTTCAATCTGTGGTCACTTTTGTCTTCTGGTGCTGTCCACAATGTCATGGAGAGAATTCGGGGGTCCAGAAATATTTGATGGGCTAAACAACGGATGCCTGTTGCAAGAATTGCGCTCGGGTTTTGCCCTATTCAGTGTGTCGCATGACTAAACCTTACGGCATGTGTGTTTCTGTGAGCTCTTGATCGATACTGGAGATCAAGAACATTCAAAAATTGCCTGACATCAGGTAGGACGAGCGTTAGAGGTGCGACAAACGGTCTCTTGTATTGCGAACAAGATGTACACGGCCTCTTGTTCCTCAGCAAATGAGATGACTTATATGCCTTCCATTAGTCATCAACACCTTGTGGTCAGGTTTTTACGGAGCTATCGTCATTTCAAATAGTTTCGTTAGATTTGAATCGTACCGCTGACTTTTCTAATTACGAGTACAATCACATTTAACATAGAGGAAACTACTAAATTTATCCTACCTAGATCTTAGTTCAGGCCAACTATAATCACCCTATCAGTAAATTATACAGTTTATGCTTTATGACCTTGAGGCGCACATGGCTGACTTGATAGAAGCAAGTACTGATAGTTTTCCGGAACTCACAAAAGGTAACCTCCACGTGATAGTCCGGGTATACCGTGTGGAGAATTCTAGCTATCTAGTGTCATTCAAATCGTTTCGAGTAGTACACAAAGTCATCTGTTTACTTACTGGTCAGCTGATCTGGGATATGGGAAATCCAACGTCCATCGCTGTTCACCTAATTTCTGCCAGTATAATCAAATCCTGTATCTCATTATAAGTGGACGAGTGACGCAAACAGGCGAGCGCATATGGACTGCAACAGTGACCAAACTAACCGGGGTTTCTGATCAAATGACCGAGGCACGCACTCGCGTGCCCCGACTGCCTGCGGCTTCACTCCTGCCTGCCTTAGCAACTGCACGAAGTGGATACGAGTTCACTTACTGAGACTTATTGACCACTGATCATCAACTTGGTGGTGGAAATTGAAGGCAGGAGTCTAACTTGATAGAGGGTGGGGGGAGCGGCACCAACCGCAGCAGCAGCACCAATGGTGAAAGTGTCGACGGTTAGCAACACATCGAGAGATGAGATTACCTAATGAGACCAGGCGGATAGCGAGCAGAGGGGGGGGGTGGCTGGAAGATTTTCAAGTGACCGGACAGATGGCTTATCAACTAACCCGAGGGAGAACTGATCACTGATGAGTGCAGTCAGTCACGTATTGAATGCAAGCAAAATCAGTGATGAAAAGTAAACCGCTCGTGATCACGAAAAAACAGCAGACGATGAAAAGTGTTCTAATGGCTGCCATGATATAAGTTAGTCCCCTTGTGTTCCAGCTTAGTGAAGGTTGACCTGCGGTTTCCCACTGTTTGTTAGAGTTTAATTAAGTAACGAACGCAAACAACTCGCCTACCAAGTGCTGGATACATCGAGGGCTTAAGGAAGTCCATCGAGACTGATGCCTCAACGCCGCCTGGATTGTCATGATTCACATTACTTTGCCACAGTACATTTTACTGCAACTCTGAAATAAATAATTTCGTTGCATGAAGTTCTTTCATCCCTGCAACTCCGCAATAATTCTACCAACAACCATTCCACGACTTTCCGAGTTCTGAGCTCTTGAGACCACCCAAAGCAGCAGTTCACAAAGAGCTGTAAGTCATTCTGTTGAAAATTGTTCCCAGAATCACTTTCGTCAAGTACGGTTGTGTCAGAAAACCGTGTATATGTTTAAAAAACTCGTGAAATGTGAGGCAATCCAAGAACGAGTTGAAAGATCTGAGTTTACAAAAGTACGGAAAATTCTATGAGACCGATATTCCAGGCTCACTCGCCTGCCTGAATGAGATGTTCTATAGTAGGCTGACATACGAACATGGTGAGAATCTTTCAGTGTTACTCGTAAGGACACTCTGGTTAGTTCGTTAATGGTTTCTCCCTTCTTGGTTCTGATTACGTAGACCAAAACCTCGAATTTCCATCAAGCTCATTTCTTACGGCTCATCCGAGTTGAGTTTGACGCGGAACTCCTAAAATTCATGAGCTAAATTCACATAATTTGCCCATATTTCGTGACGAATACATGTCTGCCAATTAACTGGATTTTCGTGAGAGACTAAACTGAAGCCCTTGTTCGCGATATTCTAAATCAGAACATGTAGCGCACAGACGGTTTCATATTTTAATCAGAACAAAATTTCAGATGTTGCAGTACGTTTGAACACTATTTGTAGGGTCGACGAAAGCTGTTGGCAGCCAACGATTGATCTCTTTCTCATTATATAGACCTAGTCCCCCAGTGGGATAGTTAATCGCCCCGTCTCATGGTGAAGGATCTTCTTGTGATTCTCAAGTTGTCATGCCTTGTTCCTCATCTGTGAGCCTGGTGTGTACAGACGAGTATCCAACTATCATCCAGGCTCACCACATCATCTCTTATCTTACTGTTATCAATATATTACAGTATATTGTTAATTTAAGGTGACGTTGGTGGAAATCGACTTGCCATGTTCACACCACAAAAGGAACTTGGCATGGAGAACTGTGAGGCCCTTTTCAGAAGATTATCTTTCCCTCCTCTGAGGGGGTTTGATGGTACGACACATTCTTCGAAAATAGGTCATTATGCGCGTCAACCCAACTATTTCCCGTTTGAGTAGTGCGCTTGAAATCAAGGGAATAATGAGCTCAATCAGGTGAAAAATACTCGGGACCGATTGAGTGGTCATCATTTTCGAAAAAGTTTGGTAACAATCGGAAAATTTATTGCTGGGCAACTTTTCACTTTTGACACAAAAACTTCGTCCGGCCAAGTGACTAGGTTCCGAGTTTGGAGAGATCCAAGTCAAGCTAAATCTTTGTTGGCTGTCGGCCGAGGGATTTTTGTGTGCTAGGGTGGGTGAACAAGTGTTGGGCCGATGGGGAAACCTGTATGTGTTTGGGTCCAGCCTAGGGTCTAGTTTAGTTCTTCTGACGAAGCTTTTGTTTTAGAAGCCTACTTTGGCGATAAGATTGTGAACAAGTAGTTATCAAAGAATAACATCAGAAAAGACACTGTGGATAAAAGACACTGGGGAAATCTTCAGGTGCCTCTGTCTTCACTTGTTTGGAGTTTTGGAGTATTCGGAAATATGATAGATTTACGAATATACACTCATTTGCAAATTAATTTGGTTTTTCGAGAGACTCACCTGGAGCCCAGATGAATCGCTCGTTTGTGATGTTCTCAGATTGACGAAAACCCGGAGACTGCACCTACCTTATGAGCCCCAAAAAGGGCAAAACCGGTCGTGGGCTGTCGATGGATTTTCAACAACCTAATGAGTAGTACATTACAAAGATATACATGTATCGCGATATTTCAAATATCGTAGCGACTGAAACATGAGGCGGCCTAGTGCAGCACATTCAGTTGCCTGAGAACATCATAAACGAGGGATTCAGCTGGGTTCTAGGTGAGTCTCTCGAAAGAACCAAATTAGTTTGCAAATGAGTGTAGATTCGCCAATTTCGTGCAATTTGCTTTCAAGTGGAACATAAGGTTGACAGAATCCCGGGGACTGCGCCTACCTTATGAGCCCCAAAAAGGGAAAAACCGGTCG